CTAGCAGCCGTGTGGGGCTAATTAACTGCACTTAATTAACTGATGATCAACTACTGTGAGCACTTATTTTAATATTATGTTTTTGCATTTGTCCTTATGTGACGGTGGAGATGGACAGGAAAGTAGGAAGAGCGCGAGGAGCCGAGCAGAGGACGCTGAGGCCACCTTCAGTCTGTTTCTGACTGGTCAGACACATTTACACCAGTGGGGTACTGGAGGTCATTTAGTAAGCCTCTTGCAGATGCAGATGCTGGTCCCATCAGCATCTACGTTGCCTTCCCATTATGAGAGCAACGTACTGGTGTGCTGAAAGAGGCGTCTTCCAGTCAGGTGCTCTGTAGGAATCAGGTGAGACACGCCTGTCATGCTGCTGTCGATAGCTGCCTGTCTCCTGAATCGCCCCCATGCTCCTGGGACTGTGCTGAGAGAGACCAAACTGTCTGGCACAGATTTATGTGACATCTTAGAGGACTCGGACTACTTGTGCAGTCCCTGTATTGTCCTCATGCAACAATTAGTGACACTGAGCCAAATTCAAAACTAGTGAAAAGAAAACAGAAAAGAGTGTCAGTGGATCAACCTGTTCGAGTTGTATTTGGAGCGCTTGTCTCACTAACCCTCTGATGTTAATTTCATTAAGACCAAAGCTGCTACCTTTCATCGCTCATCCAAGTGACTTCCTCAGTCACAGCTGACTGCAGATTACAGCACAGAGCGAGCACCATCCCCACTGACACAGCAGCCAGGGAGGCAGAAGAACATGAAGAAGGCCCTGAGTCAATGTGGTTATCCCAGCTGGACTTTTGTCAAAGCTGGGAAGGCTCCTAAAGAAAGCTCCAGCCGATCCAGGAGAGAAGAACAACCACTGCCTAAGAGAAAACCTGTAGCTAACCCGTACGTGTCAGGAGTATCAGAGCAGCTGAGACGCATTTTTTCTAAACACCGGGTCTCTGTGACCTTTAAACCCCAAAACATGCTGCGCCAAAAATTGGTCCACCCCAAGGATCGGGTCCCCAACACAAACAGACATCGGGGAAACAAACAACCTCTGGCTACAACACAGAAGAGCGACCTCGTCAGGCCAGGACTCTGCAGTCTTCACACCTACAGGCCAGTGGACACTCTTTCAATGATGAGGATGTAACATCCTGGACAGGGAGGAACGCTGGTTTGAGGGCGGAGTCAAGGAGGCTGTTACGTAAAAAGGAAAGGACCATCTCTGAGGTTACATCTGTCACCATCTTACATGCTGTGATTGCAGCCATTCAACTCTCTGTGAATGGACTCATGGTTATTGATCAGTGTTCATGACAAAGTGCACATTAATGATCAATGACCTCACAGCCCATTGTTCATTCCTTATACTAACTGTTAATAAGGTAAACCAGTGACGAAACATTTCTCCCACTGGGACCATTTTAAGTTTCATCGAGTTGCCCAGTGAGCCACGACAGTCAGCAAGCGAGCGTAAACCCAGACGTCGGTCATCTACATGGATGATCCTGCCTTCCACGCTTCTCTTCTGTCTCATCTTCACACAGACTGACACGAGGGGTCGTGAACTGGGTCCCACCTCTTTTTTCACCACAGGCTTGATTTAAGATTAGCTGTTTAATCCACGTTGGACTTGCTGTACACACCTTTGGCCATAGAAACCCTTAGAGAAGGCAAATAAGCAGCTATGTGATAACCCAGCCCTCAACACTGGGCGAGCAGTAAATCTTAGACGCTCTTCAGGATCTTAAACTGCTGGGCTGTGATGTCACTGCAGTAAAATGCAGCGTTGCTACTGGAAACGCTGGAGGACCCTGACCCTACAGGAGCAGAAAAGAAACTTACCCTGATCCGACAGGTTTGTAATCACATGAATTCTGTCGAGCTCCTCCGCAGCCATGACAAAAACCCTTGTCCAAAGTCCAACAGGAAGTGTTCTTTCAGGACACACCTGCCCAGGTGACACGGGCGCACAGCGCGAGATAAGAGACGCTGGGAGCATCAGGGCCACATTAGGAACAATATTAGTGATTATTCTGAGAATAAAGTCGGAA